CTATCACGTCGAGAGATCTATTCATAAGTCATTCAACCTGGGGTAGTTACGTCGAGATTCGACAAATCTCTCCAAGAAAGCTGTAATTAAGAGCAGTTTATTTCGTGACTCAAGACATTGGAGCAGGCCACCTCATATCGTATTGTGGAACGAATGTTATGATTTTCCCAAAGATCCTCCAGACAGGGGCATTCCTCATTTGTACTTGCAAAGTTGCTCAAGCCACTTATATTGTACAAGACTACAATCAAGCTAAAAGCATCATAACGGTCACCCTGACCTAGCCAGCACACGAAGCTGCCTTCATCTGCTACAGACAACTTCAGGTCTGATTCCCCAAGTGAATTCAGGAAGTTCGGAGTCGTCGTCTGACTCAGCATGCACAAGTGCATCCTCAGTGGAGTTAATCAAGAACATCCCTAGTGGAGCTAAACTGGGGCATTCATAGAGCTCAACCGGGGCATTCATAAAGCTCAATCGGGGCATTCGCAGAGCTAAACCGGGGCATTCATAAGTGTCCATGCCCATCTCTTATCCCCAAGCGATTCAAGAAACAATTCCCCAGTGTGCGTAAACTTAGGGCATGTATTCGAACGGATCCAGATGGTGTTCGGTATCCATTCTTCGGCATATTCAGTTCTATCATCCTCTCAACGGTTCAGGATGTATGGGAGTCTGGCCAGATTATATCTTCCCTAATGGTATAATTCAGAATCCAGCAGTGTACTTGAAGACTCGCTTCGTCAGCAATTCAATCTTTAGCAGAGTCATCAATAATCTACGGTAATGTGAGCTCCCCAGGGAAAATTTTTGTCAGTATCCCCAACAACCTTTGATGCTGCAGGCTTCCAACGTCGATATATATTGACATCCCCAATGATGAGCAATGGTTCCCAGCAAGCCTACTCTTATCCCCATGAAGTTTATTTCTTCGCATTGCATATAGTTATCACTTCATAACATTACATCCTCAAAAGCACGTAGCCGGTCCATCAGAATGGATCTTTGTGGCAAAAGAAACTCAAACATGCATACGAAGCATAAGCCAGATCAGGTGCCTTACGCAAAAGACCTGAATTATTCAAGGACAAAAATACGTCCCTACAAGAGGGTATCATGCCCAAAGTCCCCAGTCGGTGACCTTCACATTCTCAATGCCCAGAAAAATCGGTACACTTTGTCATTTTAAACCTAGTTCTTGTCTGGTAGTCAGTTCCGTAAACACTCGTCCATGTCATTTATCTAAACAATCATCATGTCGTAACCCGTGTTTCCTTTTTCGAACCTGAGATCGCCTCTTGGTTAGGTTCTTCCCCTAGATCATCGTTGAACCTGAGATCGCCTCTTGGCTAGGTTCCTCCTTAGATCACCTTCTTAGAACCTGAGATCGCCTCTTGGTTAGGTTCTTCCCTTAGATCATTGTCGAACCTGAGATTTCCTCTTGGCTAGGTTCTTCCTTAGATCTTCTTAGAACCTGAGATCTCCCGTAGGCTAGGTTATTCCTTAGATCATCGTCGAACCTGAGATCGCCTCTTGGCTAGGTTCTTCCCATAGATCATCGTCGAACCTGAGATCGCCCGTAGGCTAGGTTCTTCCTTAGATCATCGTCAAACCTGAGATCTCCCGTAGGCTAGGTTCTTCCCATAGATCATCTTAGAACCTGAGATCGCCCGTAGGCAAGGTTCTTCCTTAGATCATCGTCGAACCTGAGATCGCCTGTAGGCTAGGTTATTCCCATAGATCATCTTAGAACCTGAGATCTCCCATCGGCTACATTCTTCCTCAGATCATCTTAGAACCTGAGATCACCCGTAGGCTAGGTTCTTCCTTAGATCATCTTAGAACCTGAGATCGCCTCCTGGCTAGGTTCCTCCTTAGATCACCTTCTTAGAACCTGAGATCGCCTCTTGGCTAGGTTCTTCCTTAGATCACCGTCGAACCTGAGATCGCCTCTTGGCTAGGTTCTTCCCATAGATCATCGTCGAACCTGAGATCGCCCGTAGGCTAGGTTCTTCCTTAGATCATCGTCGAACCTGAGATCGCCTCTTGGCTAGGTTCTTCCCATAGATCATCGTCGAACCTGAGATCGCCCGTAGGCTAGGTTCTTCCTTAGATCATTGTCGAACCTAAGATCGCCTCTTGGCTAGGTTCTTCCCATAGATCACCGTCGAACCCGAGATCGCCTCTTGGCCAGGTTCTTCCTTAGATCTTCTTCGAACCTGAGATCGCCCGTAGGCTAGGTTCTTCCCATAGATCATCGTCGAACCTGAGATCTCCCGTAGGCTAGGTTCTTCCTTAGATCATCTTAGAACCTGAGATCGCCCGTAGGCTAGGTTCTTCCCATAGATCATCGTCGAACCAGAGATTGCCTCTTGGCTAGGTTCTTCCCTCAAATCACTGTCGAACCTGAGATCGCCCGTAGGCTAGGTTCTTCCTATAGATCATCTTAGAACCTGAGATGACCCGTAGGCTAGGTTCTTCCCATAGATCATCATCGAAACTGAGATTTCCTCTTGGCTAGGTTCTTCCCTCAAATCACCGTCGAACCTGAGATCGCCCATAGGCTAGGTTCTTCCCATAGATCATTGACGAACCTGAGATCTCCCATAGGCTAGGTTCTTCCCATAGATCATCGTCGAACCTGAGATCGCCTCTTGGCTAGGTTCCTCCTTAGATCACCTTCTTAGAACCTGAGATCGCCTCTTGGTTAGGTTATTCCCATAGATCGTCGTCGAACCTGAGATCACCCGTAGGCTAGGTTCTTCCTTAGATCATCTTCGAACCTGAGATCACCTCTTGGCTAGGTTCCTCCTTAGATCACCTTCTTAGAACCTGAGATCACCTCTTGGCTAGGTTCTTCCCTCAAATCACCGTCGAACCTGAGATCTCCTCTTGGTTAGGTTCTTCCCTCAAATCACCGTTAGAACCTGAGATCACCCGTAGGCTAGGTTCTTCCATAGATCATCGTCGAACCTGAGATCGCCCATAGGATAGGTTCTTCCTTAGATCATCTTAGAACCTGAGATCACCTGTAGGCTAGGTTCTTCCCAAAGATCATCGTCGAACCTGAGATCACCCGTAGGCTAGGTTCTTCCCCTAGATCATCGTCGAACCTGAGATCGCCCATAGGCTAGGTTTTTCCTTAGATCATATTAGAACCTAAGATCGCCCGTAGGCTAGGTTCTTCCTTAGATCACCTTCTTAGAACCTGATATCGCCTCTTGGCTAAGTTCTTCCCTCAAATCATCGTCGAACCTGAGATTGCCTTTTGGCTAGGTTCTTCCCTCAAATCACCGTCGAACCTGAGATCTCCTCTTGGCTAGGTTCCTCCTTAGATCACCTTCTTAGAACCTGAGATCTCCCCTTGGCTAGGTTCTTCCCTCAAATCACCGTCGAACCTGAGATTTCCTCTTGGCTAGGTTCCTCCTTAGATCACCTTCTTAGAACCTGAGATCGCCCCTTGGCTAGGTTCTTCCCTCAAATCACCGTCGAACCTGAGATTGCCTCTTGGCTAGGTTCCTCCTTAGATCACCCTCTTAGAACCTGAGATCACCTCTTGGCTAGGTTCTTCCCTCAAATCATCGTCGAAACTGAGATCGCCTCTTGGCTAGGTTCTTTCCATATACGTTGTCTTAGAACCTGAGATCGCCCTTTGGCTAGGTCCTATGTCAAATCGCTCTCATGTGTCACCTTAGGATCGTAGGTTGCCCGTAGACCTCGTCCGCTGTCTTTTCATACCAACCATTTGTCTTGTATTGGCATCAAGCCACATTACAAGTCTAATCTCTATCTCTTCATTGAAAAAACAAATTTCTTTTCCACAGTAGATAACACAAAAATAAATAAAGAAAACACTTACTCTCTCTCTCAGGACAAATTTTTGGCATTGATATTTAATCATCTTAAACCTTGAACTTACGAAATGCATGTGCCAATCGTACTTTCAGGTTTAAGACGATTAAATAGGGGCAGCTGTAATACCCCAAATTTGTCCTACCCTTCTACTTTTATCTGGTTTATGCATTGTTGCGCTTTTCTCATGTACATATCTCCATTAGGTCATTTAACATTGCATACATTCGCTAACAACATAACTTTGCAAGGGGTCGAGAACCTTCAGGATTAGGGTTTTATCAACTGGCTAAGGTGTATAAGTTCAAGTAGAGCCTGATTCTTCTAGTTATTTTTCAAGGCAGTGAAATTGCAGAATTAGGGTTTTGTGTTCATGGATGTTGTGGATCTTTTCATCATCAAGCTACAAGATCATCCTCTATTAAGAATTCATCAAACATAAGTTGAATAGGATGTCACATCTTCTATGTTAGAATTTGTAGTATCTATTGACTAAGGTTCATTGGGATTCATGTTACATTTCTTTCTGTACTTCGAAGCGCCCTCAAGACATTGTTGTTGTCCATGAAGTCAAGATATAGAGTGGATTGGATTGTAAAATGCAAGCCGTGTATATAGCATGAAGTTGTAAGTACATTGAGTTCGAAACTTCATCATTCTTTAGAATACTTGTTACCTAAATCGCAAGTAACTTGGATTGCTGATGATTATTGAATTGGATTCGTTGAAACTTCTAATTATGCTCAAGATTGATATTAGTTCAAGGGTTCAGTTTCGTGATTTGGCAATGGTTTATTCAAGATAAGGTTGGAAGATTCGTTCATGTGGTTCTCTTAGTGTACAAGTTACAAATTTGCAAAGAATTATAAGTCATAACATCATTCAAAGTTAATCAATTAGTTTTGTTCATCAAAACTCATCAAGATCCAAGGGTTCACGTTCATTCAACGATATGATCTTTACAAGTTCTAAACATCATGCATGATTTGTCAAAGTGTTTTTCAACATCATTTTCGGTTATAACCATGCAATTTACAAGCTATGTTATTGGAGCATTACAAGAGAAAATTACAAAGGCCATTTACATCCAAAATTACTAAATCAAAACACCAAACACACACTGCATCTTCCTTCTCCTCTCCCTGGACATGGCATCCAACAACTTGTGTCCTCTGGTTAAAAACATTCTTCTTTTATATACTGAAGGGAAGTGTGTGACAGTTAAGTATTACTCATATGACTGGCCAACAAACAGTTCAAAATTATCTTTTGAGAAGTTTTGTGTTCACTAAGACTGTTAAGATAAATGCGCGGACTGAAGCTGAGATAACACTGCTTGAGAACAATATCATTGTTTACAAATTTGTGCAAGACCTACATTTCTTTGTCACTGGCGGTGATGATGAAAATGAGCTTTGGCATCAGATCTTCAGGGTTTCTTCGATGCAGTCACCCTTTTGCTGAGGAGCAATGTTGACAAAGGTGAGGCACTTGAGAACTTGGATCTCATTCTTTTATGTCTTGATGAGATAGTTGACGGAGGAATTATTCTTAAAACAATTGGCCCTACATTAGTCAAAATACAAGTTCAGCCCTGTATCAAATTAATAAAACTAGCTTAGGAAAAAATTCAAAACAATTAGCAAATGTTTAACAATTTCATTCTGATTCCAAAATAACCCTTTAACAGTTTCAACCAATTCCAAAACAACCCTTAACTATTTTTTTAAACAAAAACAAAAAACCATATAACTAACCTATACCCAATTTCCTAACTAGCTTTATATAAAAGAATTTTCCATAACTAATTCGTGCTAACCGCATCCAACTGTCATAACAGAAAATAAATCCCTAACTAACTTTTTCTAACCTCATAACAGAATCCAAGGCTAGAATCCAATCTCCTGTAACAAACTTACAGACCATAACAGAAAATCAAAACCAATCCTAACGATAACAACTTCCAGCAGAGATAACAGAACTAAAGAGGGGATTCATTCACCAGAAAAATTATAACAGAATATAAATTCAGATATAACTGCAGAAGAGCTCACCTGGAATCTTAAACCCTCTCTCTCAATCACAGTTCTGCACTTTTCTCTGAAGAACCTTTAGTCTTCAAATCTTCATCATCTCTACAATTTTTCTGGTTTCTCCATCTTCACGAGTCAGCATCTTCAACAATTTGTGACAAGCTTCACAAAATTCTCACCACATCACCATCAATCTCCACCATTCTTCATTTCAATCTTAAGCGGATCTATCACTGCAACATGTATAGCGCTTCATCAGCATCATTGCTCCAATCCGTAGTTTTTCATCATCGCAACAAAACCAAGGCGTTTTCATCTCTATCATCAACATCACGATTCTACAATATACTGTTTCAACACACATTTTTGTCTTTCTGCTTCGTATTAATAATTCCCTCTACATCAATACACACACACTCAACCACAAAAATATGCAAGAAAAGTGGAAGATCGACAGAAGAAGAAGGCCAATTTAGAGCGGGACTAAGAAGAGCACAAGAAGAGTTACCTGAATGATCTTCTGGTTTTCGGCGTGATTTCAGCGCCGTTGGATAGCCGCTAGAGTGTCCCAAATAGATTCTCGTTTCGTGAACAAAAGATGAGGGGTGAAGGTGGTTTCGAGAGCGAATATGCTAGGAGAGATGAATCCAAAGATTTAAAGGATGAAGTCGAGGCGATGTTGTGTGATGGCCGAATTCGTCATTGCGGCGGCTCTAGGATTTAATCGTAGAGGAAGTGAGGTCTCCGCGGCGCGGTACAAGAGAGAGAAGAGGAGGAAGGGAGTATGGATGAAGCTGATGATGGTGAAAGGCAAGGCCTCCGCTGCGTGAGAACAGAGATGAGACAGGGGAGAAAGCGACGCTGTTTTTGTGTTCTGAGAGGAGAAGAACAACATATCTAACCCTAAATCCATCTCCATTCCCTTGTTTAATTTTCTTTTATCTTTTTGATTTATTTTTCATAATAAATATAATAACAATAGTATTATGAAAAAAGAATGTGATGTGAATATTGGTGGCAAGCTGTTGGGTTGGAACCACTTGTCTTGGCCCATAACCTTTTTGTACAATAGGATCTCATCACAAAAACAATATCCTGGACTCATTCTGATTGGGCTTTATCCACTTCCTTCTTATTCAATGCACCCCCTGAATACTTTCTATTATTTCTTAAATAATTTTGTGTGATATTTCTATATGGTTTTTTTTTCTTAATTGTTCACATGATAAAAATTCAAAAAAATATTAGAATAGAATTTTACTTCTTTTATTAACTTTGTTTGTTATTTTATCCATGTTTTTGGTAGAATTTAATGCCAATTTTGTGTGAGATTTTGAAATAAAAGAGATTTGAGTGAGGAGTTTCATGAAGTTTCAAAACTAGCTAAGAGCATAATTTTCATCAAGGAATTCAAGGAGGCTTCTGTAGAGTTTTCTTATGGCTTGCATGGTTATGAAGAGGCAACGGACCTTCTCCGTTCGGTATCGTCACAACTCTATTTTATTTCTTCACTTTACCACTTTCTAGATACCATGAGAAGTAGGAAATAAAGAGCGTGCGCTCGAAGTCGCTGTTTAAAGACCTGTAGCAGGCATTCCTCACTTCATTTGTCATATGTGTTGTGCTTGTGTTTATTTACTTTCTTGTTGATCGATGAGTTACTCAATTTAGAAATTGAGATCACGACTTCGCTCTCAGTGCATGCTCTCTATAGGATTTTATCGCTTTCTGTTATTTCTTGCCGATCGATGAGTCACTCGATTTAGAAATTGAGATCACGACTTCGCTCTCATCGCATGTTCCCTATAGGATAGTTTTGTTAGACTTTCTTCGACATGTCAACCTTGGCAGGATCTCTTTAGGTGTGCTCTGTTTGCTGGCTTGCTTGCTTTATCCTTGTACATACCATGTTTCCTTAGGATGCGCTTGCTCCGTTCGGACGCAGGATAGACCTTAGATTGCAAACCATGCATGCTGACATTAGGTAGAAACTTCCACTTTCATCCTTGACATAGGACTACCACTGTATGATAACATTAGGTTTAGAAATAGGCTAGTCTCCCTTAGACTCTTTTCTTCCCTTTTGCATGTGCATTCAAAACAAAAACTTATCTTATTAGCAAATCAAAAACATGTTAATCATAGTTAAACCCTTTTTCAAGGTAACAAAAATATAAACCAACTCAAACCATTTGTGCCCTCGAGCACCTTTCTTTAAAAACCCTTTTCAGGTAGGGACATGATTAGTTTACTTCTGTGCCAACACATAAGTCTCCAATGGTCGAGCTGCGGCAGAAGGCGGAATTAACTTCGTCCATAAAAAACACAAAACAAACAAAAACATATGAGCCGAACTACAGTAGCTCTGATTCCTCAAAAAGGATACGTAGGCATTGGGGTAGGGCCCAAGTGAGCATAATTTTATTTTCCCTACATTCTTTCCTCCTTTCTTTTGCATGCATTTTCCCTTCAGTAGTATAGTAAACAGTAAGCATAGGTTAAACACACCCATAAGATAGACAATAAGAGTGGATACCATAGAGTACTACAGGCGTGTGGGGTGCTAATACCTTCCCCTCGCGTAACACACTCCGTTACCCGATCTCTCGGTCGCAAGACCATGACTTCTCCCTTCTCAAGTTTTCTCGATGTTTACCTTTCCCTAAATGTGGGATAAAAGACGTTCGATGGCGACTTCATTGTTTGATGATTTTCAGCCGGTTGTTTCACCAAGGATCAATGTTTACTGGACGAAAAATGCAAGAATTTACGCAAGAAGTTTGAATTAAATTGTTAACTTCTAATCCTTACTATTTTCAGGAAAATGGCCAAGTCGAAGCTGCCAATAAAGTAATAATTAGCCTAATTAAGAAGCATGTAGGAAAGAAACTAAGGAATTGGCATAAAACACTAGATCAAGCCTTATGGGCATGTAGAACTTCCCCTAAGGAAGCAATAGGAACTACTCCATTTCGACTTGCATATGGGCATAATGCAATGTTACCAGTGGAGATACATGTTCAATCAATAAGAATCCAAAGACAACATGAAATACCATATGAGGATTACTGGAATATGATGGTGGACGAGCTTGTCGACTTAGATGAAGAAAGGATGTTGGCCCTTGATTCGTTAATAAGACAGAAAGAAAGAGCTGTCAGAGCTTATAATAAAAAAGTAAAAGATAAAGTATTTTATGTCGATGATTTAGTATGGAAAGTAATATTACCTATGGACAAAAATGATAGAGTCTTAGGGAAATGGTCCCCAAATTTGGAAGGGCCTTTTAAGGTGATGCAAGTTTTTTCAAATAACGCATATGAACTTGAGGAGTTAGCCCCAGATTGACAGATCTTAAGGGTAAATGGTAAGTACCTAAAAAGTATAAGCCCATTCTTCAAGAAGTCAAAATTTCGACATAATGAATATTCGTCGAATCAACAAGCTGGTAAAATTGTGTTCGAAACCAACAAATTTAAAACATGCATAAAATGAGTACAACAGAGGAAGATATATATATATATATATATATATATATATATATATATATATATATATATATATATATATATATATAAGACAAATAAAGAAAGGTTCCATTAAAATTTGGCTTAAAGCCATAAATAAATCATAAGATCATTGATACAATTATTAAAAGTGTTTAAATCTGTTTTGGAATGACCAGAGTTCACCATAGAGGTTTGCGGCCTGATATTCAAAATCATCTGCTTGAGTCCTAAGTGTTTCAAGCTCCGTTTCGACAGAGGAAATCGCTTCACTTACGGCCACAACATCCATGGTTATTTGGTCAGCCTTTGCTTGAGCTGGATTAATAACGTTATTAATCACTTCCTCTTGTTTGGCAATCGATTCTAATGCCTTGTTGAGAGCAGAAATCTGGTCACGTATTTCAGCAGCTCTTTTCTGTTTGGGACCCAGTTCCTGTTTTTTATTTCCAATCATTGCTAATAAATTAGTGATTTCTTCAGTGGCTTGTACCACCATATCCAAATTCTCTTTCACAAAAGCATTCTTCGACTCAACCGCTTCCTCATTTTCCCTAATACTTTTAATATTTTGGAGAAGAGGAATAAAGAATTTCTCAAATGTCGTTATCATAAACGTGGCTGATTCAAAAGTGTTGAGCTCTTTCATTCGAGTGAGAGCGTTTGAAAGTTCTGGGCTAAGAGTTGGATCAGAATGAAGCAAACGAGGCATATCAGGATTCAAAGCATGAGTCCGAATTTTAGCCATTAGATTTTTGGATTTGATTGCTTCAGGACTTATCTTGTCATTGTGTGCTTGAGATTGGTTAGAGTCAGAAGAAAGAGTGCGAAAACTCATGAAGCGACGCAACCTAGCAATTTCTTCTAGAGCAGAAGGCTTGACTCTAATGTGTTTTGGTGTAGTAGGTGAGTCAGCATTTGCTTT